GGGCCACCACGCCGGCAACTCCCCGGACCCTCGCCGCCGCTCGCAGCACCGTGGGAAAGCTGAAGCGGTCGAGGGCGAGTCCGGCTCGGCGGAGGCGGCCGTACGCGACGAGCGTCCAGCGGGGGTCGGTGGCACTGGAGAGGGCGCGGAGAGCGCGGTTGGCGAGGCGGAAGTCGGGGCTGGGCGAGTGAAGGAGGACGGAGAGGGCGTAGTCGAGGGAAGAAGGCGACGAGGCGAGGGGGAGGGCGAGAAGCCTGGAAAGGAATGGGGCGGAGATGTCGAGGCCAGAGCGTAGGATTTGGGCGTGGATTTGCTTGAAGTGGGGGACGGTGGTGGCGGTGAGGATGCGGTGGTTCAATGAGGGTGATGGCGGGAGCGCGGCGGCGAGAGGTTGAAGGGTCGCAGTCTCCATATCCTGTAAGAACGGCCAGGAGATGACAGGGAAGCGACGAAAGGAAGACGGTCGAGTTAAAGCATAAAGGCTTAAAAGCGGATCCGGGCGCCGGCCCGTTATTTTTCGGGTTCCTTAATGTCCCATTATGTTGTTTATAACGCCCGAAATTTCGGATAGCGAGAACTCCCGTATTACCAGAAACCTTCCAAATTGCGGACACCAAATGTGTTACGTCGACAGGAAGTTAGATAACAAATCATATGTCGCCACGAAGACAATCTAGTCGACGTGGACTCGTATTAGGAGAGCTTTCGCGTGGAAGCGTGTCTGATAGTCTCACAGCGATAAGAACCGCGCACTCTCTTTGTACAGAATTACGAATATGTCCTCGTCCTCGATGATTTTTGCTAATTTAGATAAATGGCATCCATTCATAACTTCGCTTGAAAACACATCGACCGTCCGATATATATTATATATATAATATATATTTTCTTCTCTCTGCGACCCAATTCTTGTCTACGAGCGTTTCGACTTTCGGCTGTCGTCGTCATCGAGGAAACGGTGGAGATCAATCTCGGTCGATGACTCTTATGGCGGCTTCGAGGCCTCCGACGAGAACTCCGGCGATTTTGTGAAGTCCCTGGATTGAGTTCCTTCTCGGTCGAGCGCCATGGCGGCTCCCTTCTTCTCCTCCCCTTTCCAGCCCTACGTCTACCAGGTGGGCCTCCCGCCCTCCATCCTGTGCACTTTCCGTTCATTGTTCGTATTAGGGTTTCTGTTCGCATTTCTTCTTGGGATCTGACATCGATCTGGAGGCGCCGCCTTGAAAATTTTGGAGATCTTGATCGTATTTGGTTTTATTTGCGTGAATGGGGATGGAAAATTGCTCCCTTATTGGAAAGTCAAAATTAGTCGTGCTTGCTAATGAACTCGAGATTCACCTTCCGTGTTCTGATTAATCTAGTGTTCTGTTTTTGGTGTCAATCCTTGTTCCTTAGTGTCTCACTCAATATATGTATTGCGATATATCATACCAGTAAAATGGTCAAGTCAGTATGATCTGTATTAAATTCCGGGAGAGTATGGAGAATCTTCTTTTAGACTATGTTGATTAGTTATAGGCAAACCATAAGTTGGTCATGTTATTCTTTGCCACAAAAAGATGCTGATGCATTAAGCAAACTGATAGTTTGAGCTTAATAGGTGGATCTTACCTATTGATTTTGATTGTGCACATTAATATTTGTTCTACAACAGTGATTTTGATTGTGCACATTAATATTTGCCGAATTTCATGAGTAAATCTAGGATGAGCTGAGATGTCCTAGTACAGTAGATTTTTCCTTTAGGTTTTTATTTTCTGTAAAGCTTCTTCCTTGCTGTGGAATCATTTCAAAGACTTCTCCGTCTTTGCTGCCTGGGTTTCTGTTAACTTAAGCCCTTTTTAGGAAATTTATGCAAGAAAATCCTTGAGTTCTTGCTTTGTAAAAAGCACTATCAAATAATTCCCTGCCACTTTGTCTACAAATATAAGTCCTCTGCATGTCAAACTGCACAGATGATCATAACGGAAGTCAGTTATCTTGATGATAAAAATGTTTAAAATGACAATAATGGAAGCTACATCCGATTGTATTTGCTGGGTACTCTATTCTGAACTATTTAAACTATTCAAAAATTTCAAAGCTGACCATATGCCACCCATTTTTCTTTCTTAAGATTCTTAATCATCAATAATCTAACAAAATAAAAATAAAAGTTTTTGAAAACTCTTCTGTTAACCAAAGGAAAGCATGAACAGAAATTTCTTAAGATTAGGGCCTATGAGAACATTAGGACAAGTACAATCAGTTGCTCCAGTTTGTTATGTTCCAGACCTTTGGTCCTCGCAATGACTCAATATATAAGTTATGACTTGATGCATACACTGCAGCTCGATGTCCTTAGATTAGGGTCTATGAGAACATTAGGACAAGAACAATCAATTGTTCCAGTTTGCTATGTTCCAGACCTTTGGTCCTTGCAATGACTCAATATATAAGCTATGACTTGATGCATATACTGTAGCTCAATGTCCTTTGAACTCCAATCCTTTATTGGTAAATTTAGTCATTCATGCTGAAAGAATAGCAAAACTAATGTGGAATAGAGTACTTGATAATTATGGTTGTCTAACTTAGTTTAACTTATCATGTTGTTATGTATTGCAGAGTTCCCAATCAGCAGTGACAGCTTTTCAGATACTGGGTGGAGAGTCTCAGATTGTTCAGGTACTTCATATTGTAGATTTTCTGGTATGTTAGTTTTCTCCATAACTTTTCTACCCATTGATAATTTTTTTGCAATTCCATCTGCAGATAATGTTAAAATCACAAGAGAAGCTTATTGCAAAGCCTGGTAAGTGTTTGTTAGCATTCTTGTAGGCTTTTAGTGGTCGATGTTGTATATTTGTCTAATTACATTTAAAAGTCAGGCCTTTTGCTGCAACAGTTCACTTTTGTTTGCAATTGTTGTTTGCTCTTTTAAGGGAAAATTCCCTCTGCCCCTACCAAACTTTAGCTTGGTAGTTTCCATCTTTTGTCTAGGGTTGAACCTTGAGATTTGATGGCAGACTTGAAAAGCCACCTGCCAAAGCTTTATGCCCGATACAAGGACATACCTAGTGCACAAGGCTCCTGCCAATATGGGCTCTTGAGAGGATCAATGTCTGCAGCCTTACCCTTAAATATTTAAAGAGACAGTTTTCATGACTCGAACCCTGGTCTCCCAGGTCGCAAAGAAGCAACCTGACCGTCGCAAAGCTTTATGGTCAATCATTCTGAATAATGCTTGTATCCTCTGTTTTGCTGCAGTTGCTGACACAAAGTTAGCGATGCTTATTCTTCATATACTGTCATTTCTTCTTCTCCGAGAAAAGAATTTCAGGACTCGTGGGCCTTTTACCTCCACCCGGCATTGATCTTTAGTCTACTTGATGTGATGCAACCTGTGCTTATAGCTAATTATAAATGGTATATGTGTTGTTTGTAGTGCAGTGTACTTGATGTAATTGCTTTTTCTCTAACTTTCATGATATTCTAATAAAGAAAAGTTTACCTTTATTATTTGTATGTTCTTTGTTGCATGCTATTTACATATCTTAGCTTTTGTTTTTTTTTTTACTTTTTGCAATATTATTTAGGTGCAATGTGTTACATGTCTGGGTCAATTCAAATGGACAACAACTACATCCCTGAACATGAAGCGGGGTTTTGGCAGTGGCTTTTTGGCAGAAGTGTGACAAGCATAGTTCTCTGCAATCTTGGTCCAGAAGATGGATTTGTTGGAATTGCAGCACCATCTCCTGCAAGGATACTTCCGGTTGGTACATCAAAAGCTGCATCATAATCAAACTAAATTATTAAATCAGCTTCTTCACACTATAATTTTACATTTGGACAAGGGATTGGCATTTTCTGTTCCATGCTTATGCTAGTCTTTTGCTGATTAGCATCTTGTGTTGTTCATGCTGACATGTGAACACAAAGCCTACATCTTTGCCATTGTACGTTTTAACCATGATAATCTTGTATTTCAAAATTGCTATCGCACACTTTTCTTGTTAACCCAAGTAGTTAACTAGGTTATTAATCAATTTGATAGGTGCATTGGCCATGTTTTTTTTTTTTTCTAAATTAGGATTGCTTAATCCACTTAATTATTTTTAACCTCGTGCAATATATGTAGGATTCTTTCAGCACTAGCAATTGTTTGTCCCTATAGATCATTAGTTCAATTTTTGTAATCTAAATTACTAGTAGGCTTATTCATTTTCTGCATTCTATTCTTGATTCTACTTCTAGCAATTTTCTCTTCTAACTGCTTCAGTTTTCCTAACAGATTGACTTGGCAAATTTTGGTGGTGAGATTCTTTGTCAGGTAGCACTTATTCACAATCTCAGTTGCTTTGAGAACTTGGTTTTTGTTCATTCATGTCCTTGGTGCTGTTTTCATAATTACTGATAAATTGACCTCTCTGTCAATTCATTGTTTTGGCAAGAAATGATACCAGTCGATTATTGCATATAAATCAACTATGTATCTTGACATATTTCTTCTATTCTTGAACAAAATCATATTTCTGTAACCTATGTTAACTTTATAAGTAGGTTTCTTATGTTTGCTCATTTTCTTATAAGTTGATCAAGAGTTTGTTCTCCTGCTGCATTTTTCTGCATGGTGCTTATCTTCACTTCTGCTGTTTTAGTTTTTCCCTTGCTCTGCCCTTCTTCTACTGCTACTGTTTCTATATATTTTCATACAAAATTCTTCATGCATTACGAAGCTTTCATTTTGGTGTATCACATGCTATGGGTTCCAGTGGACTGTACCGCCATACATCCATAATACATTTTGCATGACCAATCATCATATGTCTTCATCCTTTGTTAAACAAATTTATAGTCAACCACAAAATTCTTGTTTATTGTCTCCCTTTTTTTACTTTGTACAGAAAAGTTTTTTTTTATTTGGTTCCTGTGTGTTTGATTCTAGAAGAAGCAACATTTTATGGTTGGTTGGAACTTTTAAAAATCAGGCTGGAATATATCAGCTAGTCAATCTCTGAATTACTTCAATTATGCCAGATTTTTTTTCAACCATATTAATGTAATGTATTTTTTCAGTATTTAATTTTTTGTCACTAGTAAGAGATGGTTTATTTTGCATTACATATTTGAGTATGGAAACATGCTGGATGAGGTCAGTAAGTATGGATACTAAAAACTAAAGTAGGAAATAGGAATACATTAACTGGACATGTTAATGCAAGGTTCAGAGTTGAACCCCGAGACAATTGCAGATGTTATATTGGTCAAGATTGATGAGTTTACTGGTCCAAAATCTGAGCCAATTCAAGTATTACTTAACACGGGAAAAAAAAAACCACTTGCTTTTGTTTGCACCTGTATAACCATGAAGTATCTGATGGTTTTCACAATTGCCTTTTGTAGCCAGATGCATTTCTTTGCTCTGTCAATGATGTTAGAACTATCAGTAATGTTGATCAAAGACCCCGCAACTTTGAGGTTGGTGCAGAGGTAAAGTCTCCTTTTAGGAGCTGTCTCTGGTACCTGAACTCTGGATTGGCATTATATTTTATGCAGTAACCACTTTGATTTTATATCTCAGTAATTGTCTTTTTTTTTTCAATCTGTTGCAGGTGATCCTGAAACAGAAGCTAGTAGGCCAGGGTCTTGCATTTCTTGCGGGATGTGGATCTGGTATGTGTGCCTTTTGCAGTTTATTTTTCTTGTGGTTTATTGTCTTCATTAAAAAGTCATGTTCTCTGGGATTCGCTTTTCTTTTTTCTTCTACTGACTTTTTATTTCATAATAGCATCAAAATAACACAACAATGATCACCGGTTTGTTGTAAGCCTACATTCACAACTTTATTTGTCCATCTTATTTAACAGAATATGTTCCATAAAATGCCAAAGTAATGAAGGGAATTATCACTAGAAGCACATTGGAGATAATTGTTTTATGACCAAAAATATGCAAGACGTGATCAGTTAATCATAATCATCATTGTCAATTTGTCATTTACATATAGGAATGTATCATGAGGTATTGCGAAAGTTCTGCCATTGACATATGAGTGGTGTGATAGAGAGAGTAATTGTAGCATCATGCAGATTCTTGTTGTTGCACAATAACTATCTATATTCAATTTTATTATTACTTGAGCAGCCATGTCAACCATGCCTTAAATTATAACAGAACTATCATTTTGGTGACTGCCTATTAATTTTTTAAGCTCTTTGGTTTTCTTTCTTTCTTCGCTAGTCGTGCAGAAAATTCTTGCTCCCGGAGAAGTATTAATAGTCGATGCTGTGTGTATTGTTGCTATGACATGCACTATCAATTTTCAGCTGAAGCACTCCCATCCAATGAGAAGAGTGGTCTTTGGGGTGAGTTTGATGTACTTTCCTTCCTGATCTACAGTATACTTTCTTGCAATGCTTAGTTCTAATTATCCGCTAATCAATCGGACAAGCAATGAAATATCTGCTTATCTATTTACTATGTTGTTTTTTGCAATGCAACACAGTGATTTAAAAAGTCTTTGGGGTGAGTTGATGTACTTTCCTGATCTACATTATACTTTCTTGCAATGCTTAGTTCTAATTATCCACTAATCAATCGGGCAAGCAATGAAATATCTGCTGACGTGCTATCACGGACAAAGTTTTAAACAGGATGTTTGATGTAATACTTGTGTATGTTCGTGTCTTTCTATTTGTTCATGCTTTGCACAGCATGTAGAGGAACGGTTGAAGGCTTAACAGCCCTATTTTAGTTGGGTTTGGTGGCTTTCTTAGGCTTGTAAATAAAGGTTGTGTCATGTGTTTATAATTTGCATTGTCTATGAAGTGTTTCCTGGAATGTTTGCTTGTGTATCCCGAGTGAGGCGCTTTCTCTAACCCGTTTTCTCTCTTGTTGGTCCTAAGGGACCATGGGAGGTTTCGGGGAGACTGACCTTTGCGGACGGACACGTAAGGGTGCTGCACGACTTAGGTAAAGCTAGCTAAGTTCGTGACAGATGGTATCAGAGCGGGACAAGCACTCATAGAAACACTTGGCATGCAAATGTGGGGTACCTAGCAGGGCTGTGTTGAGGGCAGTCAGCACACGCGCGACCGTTTGGGGGAAAACAAGCATGGAGATGTAGGGAAAATGAGTTGCTCGGAGGAGCGGGCATCTGAGATTGCCATTCAGAGGAATGGTCAACCCTTTGCGCAAGAGGCACCAAGAGAACAAGCAAACTTGGTAGAATGCGGAGCGCACAAAGGTTGGGATGGCTGAGTTCGAGCTACGGCTCGACGTCGACAGCTATACTTGATGGTGCTCAAGGCAAACAAGGTGCTTGGTAAAGGATGAGACCATGCAAGGTGGAATGAGTTGCTCAGCGACTAAAAGAGTTGTGGAAAGCTCACAGAGATTAGGGGAATTGCTAACTCGAAGAATTCGGTACTCATGCATGGGATTGTACGTGGACAATGGAATGTTCGCGGCTATCCCAAGGCGACCGAAACTCAGCGCCATGGAGCATTGAAACTTTCTCTTCGGCATGTGAAGGATACGTCCGTAGGAGGCTGAAGTGTGTAGCAAGTTCAGCATGTTGCTAGGCCTTGAGTGGTGCAGCGGGGGCTGTATTGACGTAGGGTCGCAATCTAGTAAGTGCGTTTGTAGGAGGTAGAACAATTGACAGTTTGTTCAGCAAATCGGAGTAGTCCAAGGGGATGGTGGTCTCCAGAACTTTCAAAGAGAAAGAAGCGTAGAGAGATGTTACTCCAATAGGACAGATATCCAAGAGGGATAGGTCCCGATTCTCCAGAGGGAGAATCATATGCAACAGACTACACATGTTGAGGAGGAGTATCTCAAAAACAACAACTCCATGAAGCTCAATGGACCGAGCGAGCGACGAGGAGTCGTCACATGATCTCGCTTGAGAGAATGCATTGGTGGATGCATTGCGAGATCAAGTGGGGGAGCGATCCAGAGCAATACAAATGAAGGCACACTTAGAGTCGATATGGATATTAGACTCAAAGTAGGGCTGACCTGTGGAATGGTGGGCGCGAGGGCCACCATCAACTCAATGCAAAAATGAGGAGCGGAGCAACTTGGGTGTAATTTGGCGAAGTACCCAAGCCGCATGAAGGGAGCCAGCATAGACGATGGAACATGGAGCGGAGGCACAGTACTTTCCTTGGACAGAGGTCAAGGACATGAACTCTTGCAGAGGCAAGAGCAGGATCATGTTGTTCCATGGGTCCTTCATTTTGACGGAGCAGACTCATCTTGCATGGTGCCAAAGACGAAGGGAGCTTCTGGGCACGTGCACCTTATCTCGGAGAAGCATTTGATAGAGGAACTAAGGCGACTCAACTTGCGGAGGCGAAGTTGGGTTCAGAATGCCTTAGCACGAGACAAGAGGATGCGGAAGCGGGTACTCTTGAAGAATACGCCACAGTGTTGCCATTCAAGTTGCCATGAAGGAAGCGGTGCGCAGTGGAGATTGTGCTGATAGGGGCAGATGCCTAGGATCCAGACAATGGTGCACCATTTTCAGCGAAGTCGGTGGACTTCGAGAGCTACTAGGCGACGGACTGTCCTAGAGCGGTGCTTCATCTAGGTGTGACCCAAGAGCGGGTGGATAATGGTCGATTGCCAAAGGAGCCAACAAAATCGAAGGTGGAAGAGACCCTGCGATGTATTGGCAGAGGCCATACATGGAGGGATCACAATTCGAGTTCATCCCACAAGGATCGGAATGCAATAGAGATGTTTTCCGTGCGTGCATCGATTTTGCATCGGTTGAAAGCCTTGGTCATCAGCATATAGGGGTTGTGTTCCACCAAGGGAAATGTTCGAATGCAAGTACCAGTGAGTCCCATGGGAGGGACTTGATCATGCATAGGTATGATCGAAGCAGCTGGAGAGTTGGACTGCTCCAGAGCCCATATTCGCTTAAGGGAGCCCGGCAAGTCAGAGGACAAGGTCGAGTTAGCGAACGTTGCTACCAAGGAAGCTAAGGAGGACAGAATTGGTACAAACCCTACAACATGATGGCAGATGCCATGCATGAGAGTTGTAGTCTTTCCATCGACCAAAGGGAGCTGCTTGGAGAACTTAGAGGTGTTGAAGCAGGGGGTCGAAAGGGGCGAGGAAGCGACAACGAGTCCAGAGGGACTTAGTTACCCAAAATCAAGCATCAGTTAGAATGGAGGTGGACTCGGAGGAGTGCCACAGAGACATCTACTGATCGTGAAGAAAAGGGATGCAGATGCGAGGCAACGGATAGTAGGGCCATGGGCATGGCAGTGCCATGGTCCCGCAAAGGCGGGACTTCCGTGAAAGTTATTGATCCCTTGCTCTCATGGAGTGAGAGCGCTTGGTCGTGAAAGGGGTCGAGGAGGTGGAGCATGCAGAGGCAAACTCTAAGTACCGAGACAAGGCTGAAGGGCAGAGGCCAAGGAACTTCGTAAGACCGGTGTCAACAAGCTTCTCATCAAGATAGCCGAAAGTGAAGGACTTCAGGTCATGCAAGAGTGCACGACCAAGGAACGAAGTAGGCAGTACGCGGTGCTGTACCTTTGCTACTCAGTGGAGTAGGCGACCGGGTTGATGGAGAAGACGATACAATCCTAGAGGCGACTAAAACTATTAGAGAATTACTCCAAGTTGGGGTGAAAACTTCCTGCATTCCAGAAGTTCGATGACACTGAGAAGGTAAATCACAGTAGCTAATTCAATGCAAGGAGTGCAAACACTTCGAGTGCTTCAGAAGTGTGAGCAAAGAGCAAGCGAAGGCCAGTAACTAGCTCGATGCATGGAGTACAACCCTTGAGGAGGCGGGCGAAGTCAAGTAACCATTGCCTTCTCAACTCTTAAGAGAATGGGCGAAACCGAGTACCCCAATTCTCTTCTTTATCCAGCAGAGGAGCTCTGCACTGGTTCAAAGACCCTTCAAAGATATTAGAAGACAATAGTTGTCAAATCCTCACCAATGGTGATCAGTGCTACTGAGAGTAGATTATTCGCTTCATTTCCCAACAGAATGCCAATCGAAAGCGGAAGTGATGCGAATCTACTTGGAAGTGACAACTAAGCGAAAGAAGAGTCAATGAGCAAATTTTGTGGAGGAAAAACCCAAAACTTCAGAAGTTTGCGAGGCGATGCTCGTTAAAGCTCCAACAAGCATCCACCCAGTTCAAGTAGCATGAGGCATTTGAGAGACTGGCGCATAGTAAGGATGGTGTTTTCCTTCATCTGGAGGATCTACAGGAACCAACAGGGATCAACACAACTCAACCAACCCCATACTAGAGTCAGAGTCATTGGCGAGTTGAAGCAGCAAGGCGGATCAAAGGTTCGACGACTCAAAAACAGCAGCGGAGAGTAGCTGGGAGCCAAGAGGCACATTGCAGCTGGAGCAGAAGATTAAAGACTCAGCAAAGGCGAGGAGTTGTAGTGTCGGCAAAGGCTTCGATGAGGACGTTAGAGGAATAAGTGGGGGAGAATGTCACGGACAAAGTTCTAAACAGGATGTTTGATGTAATACTTGTGTATGTCCGTGTCTTTTTGTTTGTTCATGCTTTGCACAGCATGTAGAGTAACGATTGAAGGCTTAACAACCCCATTTTAGTTGGGTTTGGTGGCCTTCTTAGGCTTGTAAATAAAGGTTGTGTCATGTGGACACTTGTGAGAGATATTCGGTCTGTAGTGGATCATTTTGACCCTTTGTTGTGCAACCGATCAGAGCTTGTAAAGTCTGTTTATAATTTGCATTGTCTATGAAGTGTTTCCTAGAAAGTTTGCTTGTGTATCCCGAGTGAGACGCTTTCTCTAACCCGTTTTCTCTCTTGTTGGTCTTAAGGGACCATGGGAGGTTTCGGGGAGGCTGACCTTTGCGGACGGACACGCAAGGGTGCCGCACGACTTAGGCAAAACCAGCTAAGTCCGTGACAGGAACAGTTCGTGGCAATGCGATACACACAACATAGTCCTGTGAGGGACTATACGGAGGTATGATCGGGAGCTACTGGAAGCTCCACTTCGGTGAACAACACGACGACAAGAAGGGCTATGGATTCAAGGAGTGAAGGCCATGGTACCGCAGAGGCGGGTCTTCCGTGCATGCATCGAATTTTGCATCGGATGAAAGCCTTGGTCATCAGCATATGGGGGCTATGTTCCACCAAGGGAAAAGTTCGAATGCAAGTACTAGTGAGTCCCATGGGAGGGACTTGATCATGCAGAGGTATGATCGAAACAGCTAGAGAGTTGGACTGCTCAAGAGCTCATATTCGCTTAAAAGAGCCCGACAAGTCAGAGGACAAGGTCGAGTAAGCGAACGTTGCTACCAAGGAAGCTAAGGAGGACAAAATCGGTGCAAACCCTACAACGTGATGGCAAAGGCCATGCATGGGAGTTGTAGTCTGTCTTTCCATCAACCAAAGGGAGCTGCTTGGAGATCATAGAGGTGTTGAAGCAGGGGGTCGAAAGGGGCGAGGAAGTGTCGACGAGTTCAGAGGGACTTAGTTACCCAAAATAAGCATCAGTTAGAATGAAGGTGGACTCGGAGGAGTGCCACAGAGACATATCTACTGATCGTGAAGAAAAGGGATGCAAATGCGAGGCAATGACTCACCTAAACCCTACTTTGTCGTCACGACTCACCTTTGGTCAGTCGTCATCGACACCTGTGCTCCCTACCTCCACTGTTGACGTCTACGCTCCCTTTGCTGCTACTTTTTCATGCGCAACTTCCTCTATCGCCTAATCTTTCGTGTGCGGCTCCCTCCACCGTCGAGGGACAGGTCCGCAGCTTTCCCTGTTGCTGCTGTCGTCATCTACAACTTCCTTCGCCACTGTTGTCATCCTCCAAAGGTTCCTTTCTCTTTCCCCACCTTCTAAGTGACTCTTCTTCCCTTGCCTCCCCCTCCCCCCCACCCCTCCTAATTGCACACTATTATAAGTTTATAACTACTGTTAGCAGTGGATTGTTAATCCTTAGAACTGATAATTAAAACTACTATTAACTTCTATTATCATATTTTATATTATTATATTTATATTTTATATTTTAAAATTATATTATATATTTTAGAGTGTCGTGCTTTGCTTGGGTGGCCACCTAGACGAGCACCTAGCGTCTCGGATGTTTTGGGACCTTGGCGCCTAGCGTTTTTAAAGACATTGTTGCAACATTTAACTTGCGTGTGTTTGCTGCTAAAGCACCTACGTCCTACTACACACAATTTACCATTAGTCATTAGCTTAATCTTTCTATGATCTTTGTGGTTTGGCATTGAGTTTTTGCTTGTGTTTGCAGGGTGACAACCAATTGATGGCCACACTATCAGGTCCTGGAGTTGTGTTTATTCAGAGTTTACCTCTCCCTCGACTTTCTCAACGTATTGCAAGGTTGCTGCCTGTCTCCTTTTCAGATTATTTTCACTTGGCATCACTGAGTCACTTTCTAAAGCAGCTGGTTTCCTTGTTCGCAGGGCAGTTGCAGCTCCAAGCTTGAGGGACAACCCAAAGTTTTTCATGCAGATCGCTCTCTTGTTCTTCCTTGCCTATGTTATGATTGTATCATCATTAATTTTGACCGATGTTTAGATTCTCATCGCCAAATACTCGCATCTGTTTTCATATCAGCAATTTGTGATGGCAATAGGATTCTCATCTCCTTTTGTTTTATTAGTTATAGAGGCTCTTTGGATGGTACAGTACGAATTGGTGTTTAGGCTAAATTTTCTTTTCTCTTTTACATGGGAAAGTGGCAACATTACAATGAACTTTTGTCTCGTCGATTTCTCGATGGGAGCCTGAAAGATATGGTTTTGGTGGAGTGAAGACAATAAATTGGAGATACTGTACTACTTCTTAACCCATGGATTTATTCCTTGAATTTCTGGTGCTATTCTACTCCATATGATGTGGAGTGAAGACAATGAACTTTTGTTGAGGAACAAATTATTACTGATCCTTTACGGGAAAACTTATATCTGCTGCAATCAACGTTTCCTCCAGTAAAAAGACATAGCAGTCTATGCGACATAAAGAAGACATCACTAATTAGAACATGATTCTGAATTAAAAATATCTATGCATCAAATTGCAGTTACAAAGATCTTTAACTGCATGACGAACAGACATGACACTGATCTAACTCCCATTCTTGGTGAAGAGACTCGTAAGCCTTCAGCACAGGCACCAAATAGCTTCCATCAACCTCGTGCCATGGAGAAGAAGCTTGACGCCAAAATTCTAGGGCTCTTTCCCCGGTACCTAATGCAAATTTTGACCTTGACAAGGGCTAATACTATTCTTTTATCCACCCTCCAGAAGAAATGAGACCTCTTGGAAATCTAGCTAGAATTTGGTTCACTGCTTCGTCCTCAACTCAGTCGAACAACACCGTGCAAATGGTTGACACACGCACCATGGCTTTGAGGAAGTAACAGCAGGAGCTAAGGGTTAATCGCTTCCATGACTGGGACGTCCACAGCTACCTGAAGAGGCTCCAGGGAGCAGACGATGTCTCTCATAAGAGGCCTTGCCTTTGGGTTGCGGTTAAGGCAGTGGTGAGCCAGCATTGCTATCTTTTGCACGGCTTTGTCTGGGTAGTCTCCGCCTAACCTGGGGTCTATCATACCCATCACCTTCCTCTTCTGAGTGAGCAATGGTGCAGCCCAGTCGGCAAGCATCTGCTCTCGCACCGGTCGTGACTTGTCCAGTGACTTCCTTCCGGTGAGGAGCTCAAGGAGGACGATGCCGAAGCTGTAAACATCACTCATGGCTGTCAAATGCCCTACATGCATCAAGAATTCAACAAGCTTAGACCATCAAGAAGCTAAAGCAAATTCATATATAACCCACAAAGACGTATGTAAAAGAGTGCAACTTTGATGATTCTAGTTTTGTGTCACCTGTCATGATATACTCTGGTGCTGCATATCCATGGGTCCCCATTATTCGAGTTGTGACATGAGATTTATCACCTACCGGCCCATCTTTCGCAAGTCCGAAATCAGAAAGTTTTGTATTATATTCCTATGAACAGCAAACACGGGATGCAGTAATAGGTTTAGAAGTCAAGTATATGCTCAAGAAAGAGGTAATAAACTATAAAGGCAGCATCTTTTCTCAATCAATGTTGACAGCAAACGTGATATCGAAGGCAGATTTAACTGACTGCATAAGAACAAACAAATGTTTGATCCAAGAAATATTGTTGAAATCTTTGACAAGAGTAGAAAGAAAGAGTAGTCATTGAGTTCAATTTAAGTTTCATTGTTCCAGAATGCTGCTAGGCGAGCAGCATGTACGCAACATCAGTATGAACGTGACTGGAGTGCATTAAGCATGTTCAGGTACAATCTATCTCCGTAGTACCCATAGGTTTTTTTACGTATGCAATCTATAGATATAAAAGCAGACAACACAGGTGTTTTTCTTTTTCTATATGCATGCTCTTCTGAAATTTCATATGCAGGAAGATAAAGAGTATTAGAAGAATAAACCAACTGCATTATTTTTTTCTTTTCAAGAAACAAGATACTAATGCTTATGTCTAAACATTTAATATTCTATGTAAAGAAATTCCTGACAGTGCAATATTTTAGGGAGTAATTATTTTATGTAAAGTGCAAATAGGGGAGTGCATGATTTACCATTTGATATTTATATTTTGCCATATCGTTTTTTTTTTTATTTGAGGAAATATGTTGCTTCAGGGTTCGTCATTTCAGGTGCTAGAAGCATCTCAAGATTTGTTGATACAGTACATACCGGTCTGTACCGGTGTACTAACACACGGTACGTCGGGACATGCTAATGGGGACTCAAGCGAGCTGTGTCTCGATGACGAGTTGAACTGATGCATTCCGCCTATTATACCATAACGACTCGGTAGGTACAACAAACCTTGTGTTGCTTAACAAAGTAAAGACACATAGTTCAGAATTATCAGCACACCAACCTGGTCTAGCAAAATGTTAGACGTCTTAAAATCACGGTATATAACTGGCTTTTCAGCTTCATGGAGAAATGCAAGCCCTTTCGCCGCACCTAATGCAATTCTCATTCTGATAGACCAAGGAAGGGGGAGCAGTACTCCTGCATTACGAAAACATATGTATCAGCAGAAACTCTGATATATAAAGATTTCTCTCATTATTCATAAACAAAAGGCGATGGTCAAATATCCTACATAAATTTTGTTAACTTTTACTTATTAATTGCTACATGGTTCTCATCAAAATTCATTGACTAATTTATTGACTGAAGATCCATGTCCGACCATCATAAACCATCATTATTTGCCACCTTGATATGCAACAATTATAATAGGGAGAAACTTGTAATGCATATACGGCGAAGGTAAAACAAAATGTATAAGTCAACAATGCTCAAATAGGCAATATAGGAAGACAAATTGACTACATTAATTAAATCAGTCAAAGGCAAAGGATAGGATTCTATCAAAGAAAAAATAGATGTCTGTTGATGAAGTTAGTTCATGGTTCATGGTATGAAAACATTTCGGCTTGATTGTGAATAGCACAAGAATTAAATTGTGAGGATCGCCTGAATAGATACTTGAGAAGAGATTGGATTCCACGCTGCCCCGAGCCATGAACTCGTACACTAGAACTCGATGCTCGTCTTCACAGCAGTAACCAATCAGTTTGACCAAATTTGGATGAGAAAGTTGCCCAAGGAATATGACTTCAGCCTAAAGACATAGATGAACTTCTCTAAGAACAGTATAAGAGGAATCAAGTCAAAGAGACCATTGGAAACTGAGAATTCTTCATGTCAAACTGATAAAGATTTGGTACCAGCCATTCTCTGTGACCTTGGTGGCTGTTATCACCATCATGGACCTTCACAGCTACTTGAAGAACTTGGAGCCCCTCCCTGAGATCTTCAGTAATGAAACCTTTATAAACTCTGCCAAATCCCCCAACACCTAAAACATTATCCTGCCTAAAATTTCCTGTGATTTTCTTGAGTTCACTGAAAGTGAATGCTACAAGGGGGTTTGTTGCTGTATCCCGTCGCAAGTCCTCGACTTCCTCTGGGTTTGAAGGCAATTTGCTATCCTCCTTTGCCTCTTCTTTCACCACAGGACTCTGGTCTTTTGGAGATTCTGCTGACAGATGAACTTGCTCAGATAAAATTATTATTATATATTCATGGAAACTAGCTTTGTAATCTAAGCCTCTGATAGTTGTGTCTAAAATGCATTATGTACAAAAGCAGATGACAAGGATATGTACATATTTAATAAATACAGGTAGTTGACTTCATATCAAGAACTGCAAGAACTGAAGTGTAGATAATGAAACAGACCTGGCCTTGTCTAAGATGCACAAATACACAAGCAAAACATGTCAAAAAAACAGTTTTATGTTACATCCAGATACTGGATTCAATACAGGGAAGTGGAAAGAAGAGAAAGCAGCTTCATTTGTGATCTTGTAAAAATAGAAAATCTGATATAAAATATCATTTGCAAGCCAAAAATATGAAGAACCAGAAGTGCAAAATGTGAAAAGGGAACCTGTGCTTGTTTTTTATTGCAAAAGGACAGGGAACAAGTAGAAGGTTCCTCTGAATCAAACGTAAAGAAGACCTTCCCAAGAAACTAGTAAACCTTATGCAATTAAGAAACTCAAATTTTATGCATCAGAGAATGAATTAGTTCCTGATCTCAAAATAAGGTGCCTATATCAGACATTCATAGAAAGGCAGAGAAGCAATAAAGAATCAATAATTCTTCTCATATCAGCCCAATAAATCATGAAAAGGGAAACTAATATCCAGAGACATATCTTCATAGTTCCAGAAAAAGTGACTGACCTGATTTTGCATTGGATGATACTCTGTAGATGGAAATTTGATCTCTGAACCAGCAATTACCCATTAATACCTCTAGTTCAGATACTATCAACACAACTCACCAAGATAACATTACCACTGACACAGAGAGACAGAGATTGAGGTTTTTGCTTAGAACAGGGCCCACGATTGGGTTTAAGATAGGAAGGACAAAGAAAGCCAATACAAACTTCTACTCCAAAAGGTAAAGATGGATGAAGAAATAAGTGTGTAAATCGAGTTTCTCTTTTGTATATGAAGAGTTAGAGGATAAAAAAAAGTCTGATATCTTGAACGGAACCGAGGCCTTCCTTGTGGCTTGGCCGAGGGAGGGAGTAGGATGGGTGAAGAGAATAATCCAAGGAGTCGGGACTACCGGTCATTAATGTACTCTGCTGGTCTTGCTTGATTCAGCTTTATTTCAGCCATGTCTATCTTGCAGGGAAGTGGAGCTGAGTGGGTTGGCCCTTTTTCTCCTTGGTCCACTGCACTAATGATGGAAGTCGCGGAGCGAGTGCAAGAGTGGGATGTGGTGGCCCGGGTACTGCCATCCATGGCACTCCTACAGGTGGTGGTGGTGGCCGTGGTGGAGTTTGAACCAGCAAAAGTGGCGTCAGAGCTTGGCAGTCTTCAGTGTGGAATGGTGTGTATCAACATGCCTTTTTTGCTTTCTGGGTTGGTGAGAATCTTGTCATCCACCCCACCAGAAAACACCCTGAATCCTCCCAAGCGTCAAACATGACCCAAAACAAGGGGGGGTACAACAAAGAAATAATAATAACAACAACAAAAATAATCCTCTCTAATTCTCATCTGAAGACAAATTTGGCGCTTCATCAGTCAGCCTCTGTATTCGCTCCCGATGGGTTGAAGATGAACCGAAAAGGTCTAGTTTTGGTATGGTCCCGGGAATAAAGTTGTCCTCGATTGCTCCACTGGGTCTTGGAGTAGAAGACTGCACACACATGACCAACAACGATGATTAATGGTCAGATCAGCTTACTGTTCCTGCAGAGGCTGAAGTGACCTCCTACTCCTCGATTCTTCAAGAAGCAAATTTCGGAGTCAACACAAGACACGTGGGTGTTTCAGAAGGCAAACTGGATATTTCACTGAATGCAGAAAGCTCGGGCATTGCCCATCATAAGTTGTCTCGGTTCTGCGCACCGCCGGGGCAAATAACACGAGCAAGTGAGGGGGGCTTTTGTCAAGCCGATGCTAGTGCACTCGGTACGTTCACCAGCATTCTTGGTCTTTTGTAACCGTGGTCGGATTCTGCTACCGACAAGTGACGATTAGAAAACGGAGTTTGGGCGTAGTAACTTTATCATCCGGATGGTGTCCGGTAAGACCATCGGCGTGTGCGTAGACACAGGTTCTGGTCATCGCAAGCGACATCGGGCACGCGGAGTTCAAATCCTTCTTCTGTGCGACTGGATGCAGTGTAACCGTGGGGTGTGGGTAACTCTTTCCGATATCTGCAAGAAAGAACTACATATTGTTAAAGTAGATGTCAAAGTATCGACAAACAGTCAAAAGGCTAACTAAACAAAATCTAGAAGAGGCGATGGCATCATCGAAGAAACCTAATATTACCTTCAATATGTCAGCAAGAGTGCTCGTCGTCATCAATCATTTTTTTAATGTGGAAAAAAAACAGTTAGCCTTTCTTTCATTAAAAAGAGGTGAAAAAGTTGATCATCAATCCGAGACAGCAAAATCTGAGATAGCCATGACAGAGAAAATAGAAATGGTAACAAAGAGATATGCTTCGCACATATAATAACAGGCCTAAGCCAGGAGACACAATCCCTATCTATTATTGAGTAAAGAAGTCTAAACATAGAGAAAAAAACTGGTATCTAAATGGAAACCGGGCCATCAAAACTAATATTAACTTTAACATGTTAGCAAGAGTGCTAGTCATCGTCAAATTATTTTATTGTGAAAAACAAAAGTTAGTCTTTTTTTATTAAAAGAAAGTCAAAAAGTTTATCTTCCATCCAAGACAGCACCATCTGAGATAGTCAGATAGAGATATCGAAGAACAAAATAGAAATGGTGACAAAGAGATACACTTCACACATATAATAACAAAATGCAAACCGGGCCAATTGATCAACGGATAGAGTGTACCTGAAATGACGATCAGGAAGTCCTCTCAAGGAAGGAACATTCAACTGTTGGGTACTGGGGCCTGCCGTGTAATGGAAACCATAAAATCATGAATAGGATAGAAAATACATAAAAGACCATTCATATTTTGTATGAGAGTAAAAATGTTCCGACCCAGCATTCGAACTTAGTGCACCAAATTAAGAGTTGGACTACCGAATTCAACATCAGGTCCACTTTCTCTAGGTCATGATCTTTTAGAATGTCCTCCCACCAAAAAATATATGCGTGCAGGAATCAAGCTCAAATCTTTTTCAGTCATTAAGAGAAGTGTATCTTTCGACCATAGGGGCTGGTGGATCTCTCCTTGGGCCACCTGTTGCTTTCACCATCATGATCTGCCGAACCAAGCATGTGCAAACCATAAAGCAAGGGATCATACCGAAAGATAAATGCTACAAAATGAATACCATTACTTTGGTAGATGAAGAACGCATCCTTGCAGTGCTTGCAGATACGCAATGCTAAGTCTCCAACCGCAGCCCCACTCATAAAAACCTTGGCACCAGAGTCGGCAAGAGCTTTAGTGAGCTCCTCAACTTTGGCTTCTTCAGTTTTTGCATAGCTCTCTAACTTCAGAATGTATAAGACACATTTGTCAGTCAAGATCAGGTCATAACTTCCTCATTACCATTAATAATTATGTATTTAACAAAATATATTTTTGCAAAAATTGTACACATTTAAATAAGAGACAAAATACATCCAAAACCTTATTTGCAAATCACATTTGTTGGAGAAGGTTGTGGGAATTATGCTGATTATGTATTGGAGGAAACAGAGCCAAAGAATGCTTATCTAAGACACTCCATGTTTCATCTTTAAAAAAAAAAAAAGGAACAAACCTATACAGAGAAGGCCTTCCTTTCTTTCGAGTAATTGGCCCATGTAAACAGATCGATGGAACTTTTCCCTGCTCAAATTAGAACTCCAAGGAAAATGGTAATCACATGTCAATCTCTTTTATTTATTTTACTGGATTTTTCCATTTTGGATAAATTTGAGAAGATTCTTCTCTATGGGAATAATCCTGCATACCCATAGCAACTATGAATAAGAATTGATATGACAAAAAATGGCAGACCCAGCACAGCCGAA